GAGTCATTGCACCCCTCGCTCTTCCTGTCATTCTGATGAGAATTTATGCCACCTCTCTATACCTCCATTTGCCGTGAAGTCGTCGGATTCTTTGAGTGAACATTTCTCCCGCCAAACCTCCAGGCTTAATTAGTTGATTCATTGTAAGTTCCCGCCAAACCACCAGGCTTAATTAGTTGATTGATTGTAAGTTCCCGCCAAAGCACCTGGTTTCACTTTCTCTGTTCGTCTATCCGTCTTTTCGTGTCTTCGTCCCGTGGTTGAGCCTCTGATCTTCGTGTGCGTTGTCCTATTCTCCATTTGGGCCGTGGAAGGCGATACGGTGACTCTTCCTAATAGAAGCGTCGGTGCTGCTGCGGCTTCGACTTTTTCTAGTCTTCTGCACTTTGCCAATCTCTTTCTCATTCTCTCAGGGGATACTCACACGAGACCTTCGTGGATGTATCTGACCGCTTTTGAGGCCACTTCTGGATGCACCTGACCGCAATTACGTCCAGAGAAAAGTTAGAAAAGTCCGAGGGTGAACTTTCCTGTCATCATGCTTCTTTGTCCCGTTATCTGTCTAGGTGCATGATTTTTCTCCGCTCTTCCTTTGTCCCTTGCTTCTCTTCTCCTCCACGGTTCTCCCTTCCTCTTCTCGAGAACCCTCGTTGTCTTCATCTGTCTCGCGCTCGTCCTCCTCCCTCAATTTTTTTTCTCACTCCCTCTCCCTCTCCCTCTCCCTCGTTCCCCCATTACTGTGGTCATTGGATTCCATCAGGATTCGAAGTCCCGATCTGTTGCCCAATTGTTGCGTGTGTACCATTCGCCCACACGAGCCGCTTTTTTCTCCTTCAGCTTGTCCTTCTGTTCCTCTCTTCTCCCCACTCCCACTCTCTTCTTTGCAATTGCGTCAATCTTAGGGCCTGTGAAAACGGGATTTGAACCCGCGACTTGTCCTTTGCTTACCTTGTCTCCCTTCCCGTTTCTGCGCAGCTGGGCATTCTCTCCATTACCATACTTTTGCTTTTTTCTCCCCTCTCCATTACCATACTTTTGCTTTTTTCTCCCCACTACCATTCTGTTCGTTTCCATTCGACCTTCCCTTTTCCCTCCTTTCTTCTCTCTCTCCCTCTCAGTACTCTTCCCTCCCTCCCCCTTGCCTTTATTGTTCTCCCAAGCCTTGATGAAGGCTTTCTTATCGTCCGGCTGCGTTCATCTCTCTCTCTCTCTCTCTCTCGTGCGCGCGCGCGTGCGCAAATTGTCTTATCTTCTCCATCTCCGTCATCAATCTACGTGTCAGTCGGTACTATGTTGGCTCCTTTTCACGTTTTCACTAAAGAACGTGTTTTTCCCGCTCATTGTCAACCCCTCTCTCCATTTCTCTCTGTTGCGTTTCAGCGTCGTCCTCTGGCTCCATGTCCTCCGCTCTTCCCCCCTTCCCTCTTCCTCCCTTTGCTCTTCTACTCCATGCCCATTGGACGTTTCCTACACGTCTTGTTAATGTGAGAGGGACTTGTATTTACTATGCATCAATAATAAGTCCATCACTATCATCTCTCCTTCCCCTCGACCCTCTGCCATTGCCGGTCTTCCTTCACAGTACTTCGAATCCCATTTCGGATCGTCCGCTCTTTCCGCTCAGTTTATGTTGTTGCGCAAAGCTGTCGTTTTGAATTGAATGGCGATGGAAGAGGGTGGAGGTAGTCTCCTTCCCCTCTGCACATTTCATCTTCTCCTACTCCCCGCTTCGCTCCCGTCGCTCTGGCTAGTACCTTTTATTCAGTCCGATTGCTCCGTTTCTTTCTTCCCAACCTGTTGTCTCCGTCTGCCCTGCCCTTGACTTGCCGTCGCCTGCATGCATCTCTCTCTTGTGACTTCCTCCCTCCCTTTTCTGCCCCAGTTATGATTGCTTTTCGATTTTTTGGTATGTCTCGGTCACATATATATACGTAGTTTTTTCGCGAAACTGTTTTTTTTTTGTGCCTATATTCTACATACTCCTGGCCACTACACCGCTCTTGTCCGTGCCTCTGGCTCTTGGGAATTATGGAATGGCGCTGCTATGGTGCAAACTATTACTGTCATCTGTGATCTCGTG